AGAATAAAGATAGAGAAAGTCCGAAAGAGACGGTGTTTTATGTTTCTAGACACAATGGTAATGGTTTTTTTGTATCAGCCACAGTACGTATCTTTCAATTTATTACTTTTCGTATTTTAAATCAATGGCTGATTCTACCATGCAGTTTTTTGCATACTTCTCTTGTTTCAGTGGAGGCTGCTTGTTGAGTTACTTTACGATAAAAGCAAATTACGGCAGCTTCCTGTTGACCCAATGCTTGATGCTCGGCGCAGGACTCGGTTGTTGCTACAGTCACTTGCTCACATTGGCTGCGTTTGTAAGCAGACTTGAAGTTAACTGTACATATTTCCTGATTATTATTACTATATTTTCTGCTTATTATTATTCTCTGATTATTAGTTCTTAGTATTGTATTTTCTGACAATTTCTGACAATTTCAGAATTTCTAGAATATAAGTCACAAATGGAACTTGGCTTAACTACACGGACACACGGACACACAAATGCAATATAATATGCGAAAACAAGGCCATTAAAAATCCTTAAAAGTGGATATACTTACGAACAGTTACAATTAGAAATATCTTTCAAATAATGGAATATTTTGATAATACTTTCATTCAGGAGGGATAATATATTTCTAAATTCGTTTTTACACCAATGAAGTACCACAGAAATACTGCCAATAGTGGAGAATATGCGAGTTCCAGGAAGCAGTTCAGAAGAAGAGGATGCGACCAGTGGGACAAGATTTTTATCTGCCTAACTTTTCGGCTTCTGTTGGGAATTGTCAGACCCGCACCCAACCCTGACAAGGAAATTGTGGCAATAAGTGAGTCGAACACGCGGATGGCCACTATGAACTATAAATACAGTGCAATCTGTGCATGTTTAACCCCATCTGTGCATGACCATGACTATGTTACCATTACCTATGATAAAGGATTCCGGATGGAATCCGAAACGTCAGGCAAATAAAGCTCTTATTCCAGTGATCGCATCCTCTTCTGCTGTACAGAAATTCTTTATACTTTTTACACAAGCAAGTATATGTACGCAGGATTAGTGTTCCTCGTTTTAAATGAACTCAGAGAACGTATAGTTTTGCCGCGACAGTTTTTTATCTGAATCTAGCTTTCAAACCGAGGCAATTTTTTTGTATGATCAAACATATTTTCGCTTTTCCTTGAACTTTTAACCAAAAAGAGGATTAGCTCGTAGTTTGGTCATAGTTGACATAAGCAAGAAGTTATAAATAATTCTTTGAAAAAGGGAAAAAGAAGGGCTGTATTAAAAAAATATAACAACAAAAACATCCTCCATTCGTCGTGAATAAAATTAGGCAAATTACATTGGGAGCACACAAACAATGCATAATGGCCGAGCATTGCATTTGCCCCCATCGTTCTTGGATAAGCCGTAAAACTTAGGCAACATTGGACTTCTTTCAAAACAGTTATAGCGTCATGCGCTAATGATGCCAACGATGTAGCTCGAATAAGCAAGAAACATTTAAAAAGTCCGTTTATACGGGGCGCAATAGGCCAACCGATGTATATATAAGACTAAATAATAAAAACATAATAACTAGTTAATCACGAATAATATAATATAACTTAATGTCATTTTTGATTTGATGTACATTTATTTTTTAATTATCGTGCGTCCTTTCGTCGCTACACATCAGTTTTTTCTAATAACCTTATCTATGAAATTACGCATGGAGAATTCGTTTTTCTCCACATATAGTGGTTTCCCAACCAACGAGGATTCGTGGTCGGCTTATGTGTGTGTGCGTTTGGTGCGGGTGCTATCGTGATGACTCCTGTGCAAACGGTCCTCATTAATCCCACCAATATTGACATCAACAATGAAACTCAGTGCGTTCTATGCTCTCACTTACCTAAGCATGCACTATTGTCTTAAGTTTCCTACAGCCGACATATTCAGTTCCCTGATGAAGCTAGGTTGGAGTCAGTTGCATTTAATACAGGCTAGCTGTATTACTGGCACAAACCGTTTCTTCATAAAATCTGCAAATTTAGCCTATTAGTGCTTCGAACTGCTATCGTAGTAACTCCATGTAAATATTTTAAAAAAATGAGAGAGGATGTGACTTTGAAATGCAGTGCCAAAACTGTTAGATTTTCCCTAATGAAGGTATGTTGACGCATAAAGCCTTTGAGATGGATATTTATGGGCAGTGAATACCCCTTCAAATCTCACAAACCTTTGAATTGCATAACGTAACCTGGAGAATATTGAGAGAATACAGATATTTTACATGAGCTCCTCCGGTAAAACAGTACTCCGCGGGATCTACTTGTAAGCTATCAATTAATAGGCTACTTTAGTAGCGATTACTTACCGTGCATAGTGCACGGCATTGACTATTATAGCAAATTGAAAGCTGACTCTACGTATTTGACCTTTTTGGGCCCCTTAAGTGCAAAATAACTGAAGGAACTATTGTGAGTTTTGCTACGAAGTCAAATCAGACGTTCAGCTCTGTTCCAAAACCAATTGAAAACTTCTTCAGTTATTTTAAAAACAGTCTGCAGTTGGCAGATTGAAAAACTATTCAGGTAACGCATTCAGTGCATACATTAAATACAACCAATCTGATCAGAAGAGCAAAGTGTGGAGAGATACTTCAATTAATTGTAACGAGGCAACATCCATTGTCAGGACCTTTTGTAGAAACTCGATGTTACAGGGGTATTCATTTATATAGACCCCTGTATGCATTTATATAGACCC